CACTCCTCAGACATCTTTTTAGTTTTTAAAATAATATTAAAGAGTTTAGTAAGCCAAGAAACTTCTAAATCTTCTAAATATTTCCACACTTCAATTGAGATATCATTATGTCCTACAGACTTTCCACATTTGTTTTCTTTAAAGCCTCATCAACTTCTTTTTCACTAATGCGACGGTAAAAATGAAACGTTTTATTATTATTAATGATATTAAGATCACTAAGATCGATCATATTTTTCAAAAACTTCATTAAAAAGTTTATTAAAATAAGAATATCTTTTTCTATGAAAAGCACTTTCTAATTTCCATATTTAGTACACTTTATTTGGATTATATCTTTAATCTTTATTTTTTTTTTCTCTTTATTTGACTAGTTTATACATATATTTTTCACCCTCCTTAGTAAGATCACTAAAAACATAATTTTTAGTGTTATAGATTGTTTTTTTAGACTCCCTGCAAGTCGTTTGATATTTTTCACAGTTCTCTAACCTTTTATAATTAGACCAATTCTTATAACATATCTTCTTATACTTTATCTTTTCTTGCACATTATTATTCCACCACAAACTATTTTTATTTATAGAAATTTTTTCTTTTGATTCTTTAAGTATATTTTTGGTATTTATTTAATAGTGTTTGTTACTTGATCCTACATAGCATTTGCTTCTTCATGAACATCCCAAATTTTGAAATATTGAATTTTACGCCAAAAAATAATTTTATTTGTCTTTTAGATTCCTCCATCTAGTTCTACTATGATGAGCCGATGATGAGCCATAGCATTCTTTATTTTACAACTCTTTATCTTAAAATCTAGAACTAATAATCGATGTTGGGTACTTAAATCCTCACTTGAAATGATCTTTACAATCTTTACAATCTCGACATTCTCTTCTTCTCATAGAAAATAATCAATTTATGTTTTATTAGATCCAATCTTATAAGTAATAAGAAGTAATAAAATACTAATCTCTTTTCTTGAATAAAGTATTAGTAATAACAAATTCATACGCTAAAGCAAAATCTAAAATGACTCTACCGTCTTCATTCGTCACTTTAAAATCGTAGTCACTATGAATATTCCTGAAATTTTCTACCACTTTCTACCACTTTACCGACATGTCCATTTAAATCTCTTCCTAATAAAAATTCTTTCTTCAAAATTTATCATTTGTATTAAGTCTTCTAAGTCATTCTAGAATTTAACTTTTCTTCTCTATATCTAGACCTACTTGAGGAGCATAAACACTTGTAATATTAAAAATCTTAGTCTCAATAATAATCTTAAGGGCTATAATTCTATCACTAACTCTGATAACTGTTACAACATTATCTTTCAAACTCTTTTAAACTCTTATCTATAATTACACCTACACCATTTATAGTGTGGCTTACTAGAATACCAAAGTTTAAAACTTAAGTTATAAATCTCCTTAGCCTTTTCTCCCACCCATTTAACTTCTTGAATACATAAAACATTAATCTTTATATGAATTATAATATCAACTAATTCCATTATCAACTAATTCCATACTAATTCCATTAATTTATCATTAAGAGTACATATATTCCAAGATTCTATCATAATTTTAGTTTCATTAGTTTCATGGACTAACTTTTTACTCGCATCCGTCAGTAATGTGGGGGAGCCCTATCTTATTTGACATTACACACGGACGCCGGTGTTGCGGCCATTTGCACAATTTTCACTGTATTTAGGCCATTAAGTGTGTGGGGGAGCCCTATCTTATTTGACATTACACACGGGCGCCGGTGTTGCGGCCCTTGCACAATTTTCACTGTATTTAGGTCATTAAGTGCGTCGCTTTCAGGGAACGCCCAGCACTTACACAATGGATCAAAATGATTCATGTCATAATTTTTTCGACAAGTTTTATATTGACTGTCGATTACCTAACACAACTCTCTATTTTTCATATCCAGACTTGGGATCGACAATGACAGTGTAGAAAGAATACATACATAAACTACCTGAGAATCAAATTTGTGTGTTTGTCCTAAGTTCAAGAGCACTCCCAAAGGAACCTATCTTGTTTGGTTAATTACATCTTAGGGGATGCCCAAAAATACTCTCGATTAAAGAAATCTTACTTACATTCAAGTGACGACTAGTAAAGGGTGTCACAAAGGATGGATATCCTATTTGAGCATTTCGATGCTTTTAAAGCTCATGTCGAGCCATACATGCAAAGAGTGAGTCTCTCACGATCCTGCACTTGCGACATAAAAAATTGATGCCTTCAAGGTTTTCTTGAGTGGAATGGGGTAAAGAGCAGTTCTGTAATTCATCATGCCTAATTTTGAGGTTTTCCTCTGCGTATTTTTGTTGATTTAAAAGGTACAGTTAGGTGTAGAGGTTACTTTTAGGCCGAGGGAGCATAAGTTTGCTCTCAGCTACTTCAGGCAAAAAAGGTGCTGTTAATTCCTGATCAAATTGGAGATGGCCGATGTGTGATTGTTTAGGATCAGAATGTCACCAACATACACGAGCAAATAGATTTTGGTGCTGCATTTGATCTATGTTAGGAGTGAGAGGTCTGAGACACTAAATTCGAAGCTTTGGCTAATGATATGGTTGGAAAATATTATGAACCACAGTCTTAGGACTTATTTTAAACTATGAATGGCCTTGTGAAGTAGACACACATGTATTGGATGTTAGGCATCATGAAAACCTAGTGGTTGATGCATGTGGACATTTTCCTCAAGTTCGCTAGAGAGGTGCATTTGAGACATCAACTTGTAGAACCGGCTAATCCTAATGTAAACCAATGGTGAGGAGAATTTGGATTGTAGGATTGTTGCTACGGATGATATGTGCTCCTCGAATGTATCATTGCAGGAGATAATAGTTTTAACCATTCGAGAATTGTAGCAGGGATATGTGTACTCATCAAGTGTAATATTGCAGGAGATGATGGTTTTGCCCATATGAGAATTGTTGTAGGGATATTCTTTATGTGAGGGAGCGTAGCTTATAAAATTGTACGGATTGGATTGTGGAGGGTTTTAGATTAGTTCGTTTACACCCCTAGTGTAAGGTGAGAATCAGTAGGAGGCTTTTTGTATAGAAATTAAAGCAGAGATTTCATATTTTTAATTGCACTAGACATTGTATTGATGGGTTAGTCCGTTGTAAGAACAACTTCTATCAACACTTGATGTGGGAAATGGGATCCATTGAGAAGTGTGCGGGTTATTTCAATTAATTTTTTGGCGTTTGTGTTCCATAAAATCATTTTTGTTATGGGGTTTAGAGAACTAAAATAAGTTGAAAATCAAAAAGTGATTTCTTAGATGAGGATATTCAATATAGGTGGGTGAGATATTTTGATAAACTTTTTAATGAAGATTTTGAAAATGCGATCATTTTGAAAATACGACCGACTTTAGTAATTTTAATATCATTAATAATAATTGAACCTTTTATTTTTATCGTCGCATTAGCAAATAAGAAGTTGATGAGGTTTTAAAGAAAATGAATGATGAAAAATCACTAGGATCTGATAGTATCTTAATAGGCGTGTGAAAATATTTAGGAGATTTGAGAATTTCTTGACTTACTAAAATTTTTAATATTATTTTTAAAACTAAAAAGTTGCATGAGTGGAGTAAGAGTATTTTGTCCCTATTTTTAAGACTAAAGAGAATGCATAAGAGAGCAAATTATAGAGAACTTAAGTTAATGTTCCATATATTAAAATTATGAGAGAAAGTAATTGAACATAGGTTAAGATGTGATACAAAGGTTTCTCAAATTGAGTTTGGATTTATGCCGAGCAAGTCTACTATGGAAGCTATACATTTATTGAGAGGTTTGATGGAGAAGTACAAAGAGAGTAAGGACGGTCTACATATAATTTTTGTTGATTCAGAAAAAAACTTATGATAAGGTTCTGAGAGAAGTTGTTTGAAGAGTTCATAATTTTTGTTGATTCAGAAAAAAACTTATGATAAAGTTCTAAGAGAAGTTGTTTGAAGAGTTCTAGAAAAGAAAGGTGTTGACATGACTTATATTCAAGTCATTAAAGATATGTATACTAAATTAATACTTGTGTTTAAACAGAAGAAGCATAGGCCAAATATTTTTTTATTTCAGTTGGATTATGTTAGGGATCAACTTTAATCCCTTATCTTTTTGCTTTAGTTTTGGATGCTCTCATTGGACATTTACAAGATGATGTACCTTTGTATGTTTTTCCCTGTTGATATTCTTCTTGCGGATAAGACTAAAGAAATAGTTCATCTGTTGATATTCTTCTTGCGGATAAGACTAAAGAAATAGTTCATGAAAAACTTGAATTATGGAGGTCTAAAGGCCTTCATCTGAGTGGATCTAAAACTGAATACGCATAATGTAATTTTAGTAATAGATATGAATTGTAACAATGGGTGATCAAGTCATTAAAAGGAGTGAATATTTTAGATATCTCAGGCCTATTGTTCAAAATGATGGTGATATAGATGGGAATGATATTAGCTGTGAGTTTATTGATTGATAGGTAATTGCGGGAAAGTGTAGGGCATGTAGAAGGTTTAGGAAGATATAGCAAATGATTTGGATTGGGTGTATAGGCAAAGAAGCTCGGTTTCCAACTAGATATCCTCTATTCCACAATATGGCACAGGATGCTAGAGCTGATCATGATCTATGGTTAGTTGGGTTAGTTGGTTTGGTGTCCATGTACTAATCTTTAGTGGTTGGTAATGCTGCAGTAAGATTTTTTGTTGAGTTTGCAATGCACCAACAATTGATGGCAGCATGTCCCATTTTTCCATAGATTTGACATCGAAGATGAGTGGAAGAGGGTCATCCTCTTTTTGGAAAAGAACCAGCTCCATGACAATTTGAGGTAGAAGTGTTCCCACCATGCCTCCTTCCAGAGTGGATTCGGAAGCCACCGGTTGCTAATAGAGAAATTTATATTGGATCATTATTGATGTTGATTTTTTCACTACACAACACCGAGCACTGGTTGTTGAAGCTTACCGACGTGAGTTTTGTGTGTACTATTGTTTTAAAGCTTGATATAAGGATGCTAACCCATTCAGGATGCATACAATTATTTTTGTTTTAACTAGGATCCGGCAATAATTATATTATCTCTCAAGGATTTAATAGAGATAGGCGTTGTGTCATGGTTTGGTTCTTTGTAGAAATATTTTGGAGCTTGTTTTTGAGTTGTATGACCCTTGATATTTTTTTTTTGTTGTAGTTGTTTTTATCTCAAATTAGGAGATATGGTTAAGAATAAAGGGTAGAATGGATGCAGTGATAGTAAATTACCACATTTATGTTTTGATAAAGTAGCTGCCATGCGTTGTATTGGAACTTGGAGAAACCGCACTACAGGCAATTAGGATATGTTTGGTCTGGCAGCAAATTGACCAATGAGGAATACTACAAAACCATTTGTGATGATTATTTTGGGTATTTCATGTCTCCAAATTTGTAGTTTTGTTTGGTGAGTTGAATGCTGACTATATATATTTGGGGTTTTACATTAGGAGCTTCACTGGTTGGGGAATAGGTGAGATTAGTGCTCCTAGCAGGATGAGAATTGATGGAGGAGGCGATCAAATCGTCCATGTAAAGAGATAAAACGAACTTCAGGCTGTTAACTCAACCAATCTCTAATACCATTTAAGTGTTCAAACCTGCATTCAGATGGGTAGAGAGAGTAAGAAAATGGTGAATAGCAAGAAGTACAGGAAGAGCTGTAGGAAGTATACTCATTTCATTTCCTCTATATATGTGTGTGTGTGTGTGTTGTGTGTGTAAGTGCTGTTTTTCTCAACTTAACATAGAATGCTTACTCTGGCTTTGTTTCTTCTATATTTTTTTGTTGGGGCTTTTACATACATAGCACTCAAAACTTTCATATTTACCCATGTCACACCTAAACTTTCATAATTACAAACATTATGTGAAAAGTAACGCTCATTATCATTTTTTAATAGCCAAAGTTCCATGTGTGTAAAAATGAAAGTTTAGATGTTAGATAGGTAAATCCATAAGAATTGGGTACTATTTATGTAATTTTTCCCCTTTTTTTGTTTGGTCGATTTCAAATGTATCACACTTGATTTTCTTTTCTTCTGTGGCTGTATTCTTAATTTTATTATGACATCCTGCTAAATATTTTGTGCCTTTTTTTTTACATTTTCAATTGATCTTTTTGTTATGCTAGGACAACATTATATCAACTCCTGCTGTAAGTGGAACAATATTGCCTGGGGTTACAAGGAAAAGTATCATCGAAGTTGCTCGAGGTGCAGGTTTTCAGGTATTGAAATTGTCAATGTGGCTCACTCCTTGGTTTTATAACATATTGTTTCATCCATTAGATTTGGATTTGGCTCATAGCTGAAGTTGTACTTTCCCCATCTAAAAATCACAGTGATCCGTTCTTTGCAAATATCTTCACATTGTACTTCTAGTTATCCTAACGTCATAAGACATATTGGTGTGGGATCCTTTGGGATTAGATAAATTTAATTAAAGTTGATTTTCTTCTTCATGTGTTTGGCCAAGAAAAATAATTTGGATAAAGCTCTCTTACTCATAAATGATGCTTCTGCGCTTTCGTGTTAATAAAATATCCATAATTACGGTTTGCGCTGTGTTTGAGTGAAGTCTCAAGGTTTTGTTTTGCTTTTAAGGTTCATTGAAGCCTTAATTGATTTATTTTTACTGCTTCCTTATCACAAATTTGGCAAGCTTATAACATCATAAAACTCTAATTAATTGGCTTATTTTCTTACGGTTTGAAATGTGTTCTTCTTGATGAATAATGAAAAAATAATTGTGGAGGTTGAGGAACGGCCTATTTCCGTAGAAGAATTGCTTGATGCTGACGAAGTTTTCTGCACGGGAACAGCTGTGGTTGTATCACCTGTGGGAAGTATAACGTACCTTGAGAATAGGTAAATTATTGTTTTTCTCTTGCTTTATTTTTTGCTTATTTTTTTGTGCCAATAAAACAATTTTCTGCTTTGCAATCTTACTTATTCCAGAGTGACTGCAGAAGCCTTTTTTGTTGATCTGAGTGAAAACTGTCTATTTATGCTGTTTGAATTTGAGTATCTATCTTCCATGTGCCCAACAAGAAAAAATAAAAATCTTGTGTAATTAAACACTTTTTGAACATAATGCTGTAATATTTATTTTCCATTACAGTTGCCATGGGAATCTACAAAGCATCATCAGCAGTATCATGACCATGTTGCTAATAAATATTTGATTTTTCTCTTGATGTATAACTTCAGTTTTAGCCATACTAGCTGATACTCAAGCTGTTTATCGCCTGATAAAACAATCATTTTCTTTTAATCATGAGGGCAAACAATATCATTAAATGTTGATTAATATTATACCATTTTTGATTATCAGAAAACATTAACTACCGCAAGATAAGTGAAAGTTTCACCAAATTAAACCATCATCTTCTCACATTATGTTTTATTTAAAAATTCTGCAGAACTGAATATCAAAACGAAGGAGTTGGAAATGTGTCTCAACAGCTCTACTCGGCGCTCACAAGCCTGCAAATGGGTCTAACAGAGGACAACATGGGTTGGACCGTCGCCCTAGAGTAGGCACCACCCCTAAAATTTTTATTGGGGGCATTTACATATATGCTACTCAATTCTCATATATTTTTATATCCAACAACTAAACTTTACTTTTTACAGTCATACCACCTAAATCTTTTAAATTACATCAAAAATACTTTTAAAAAGTGAAATACATATTTTTCATGCACAGATAAGGTGATAACTGATAAGTATATGTAAAAATGGAAGTTTAGGTGTTAGATATGTATATACATGAGAATTGAATGGTATGCATGTAAATATTCCTTGTTAGTTTGGTTTTTCACTTTTTTGCCCAAACACTTGAATTCATTCAATCATTCATCTTCTCCTTAACTTCCTGAAATTACCTGTTATGTTTGGTTTGGAATTATATATTATGATTTTCCCTTCTGGTGTCATCTTCGGTCTTTGGTTGAACTTGGACCAAAGACTCTTTTAAAAGGGTCCCATTCCACCGCAAAAGTTTACCAAATGTCTATATCTGTAACTCAATAATTCATTTCTGATATCATAGACATAGTTACAGGTTCCACACGACACGCAGGAGTCTGGGGTGAACTCTTCCAGTCTTTATCCACTTCTTATCAAACTTGACTTTAGAGATGATATTATTTTCCTATACTAAAATGTTTGCTTCTTTTATATAGATGTGCGGATGGAGAAATATTTGCATACGTAAGGCGTACCCAAAGTTGTTTACATATTAGGTTATTCAGAGGGTACATGTAAGTTACACTTAAGTTACAGGAAAAATTACAAGAAGTATAATCTAAATATAACCTACCTGTACCATCCTAATAACCTATTATGTACACAATTCTACGTACGTCTTACGTGTTATCACATGACACATGATTATTTGATGGTACGGTATGATACATGTTATCGCTCACACGTTCAATTTATAGGACGCAATATTATCATATGCTGTTGTATTTTGATCTTCTAGAGCAAATTATTTCATTTACATAAACAGAGGACAACATGGGTTGGACCGTCGCCCTAGATTAGGCACCACCCCTAAAATTTTTATTGGGGTCATTTACATATATGCCACTCAATTCTCATATATTTTTATATCCAACAACTAAACTTTACTTTTTACAGTCATACCACCTAAATCTTTTAAATTACATCAAAAATACTTTAAAAAAGTGAAATACATATTTTTCATGCACAAATAAGGTGATAACTGATAAGTATATGTGAAAATGGAAGTTTAGGTGTTAGATATGTATATACATGAGAATTGAATGGTATGCATGTAAATATTCCTTGTTAGTTTGGTTTTTCACTTTTTTGCCCAAACACTTGAATTCATTCAATCATTCATCTTCTCCTTAACTTCCTGAAATTACCTGTTATGTTTGGTTTGGAATTATATATTATGATTTTCCCTTCTGGTGTCATCTTCGGTCTTTGGTTGAACTTGGACCAAAGACTCTTTTAAAAGGGTCCCATTCCACCGCAAAAGTTTACCAAATGTCTATATCTGTAACTCAATAATTCATTTCTGATATCATAGACATAGTTACAGGTTCCACACGACACGCAGGAGTCTGGGGTGAACTCTTCCAGTCTTTATCCACTTCTTATCAAACTTGACTTTAGAGATGATATTATTTTCCTATACTAAAATGTTTGCTTCTTTTATATAGATGTGCGGATGGAGAAATATTTGCATACGTAAGGCGTACCCAAAGTTGTTTACATATTAGGTTATTCAGAGGGTACATGTAAGTTACACTTAAGTTACAGGAAAAATTACAAGAAGTATAATCTAAATATAACCTACCTGTACCATCCTAATAACCTATTATGTACACAATTCTACGTACGTCTTACGTTATCACATGACACATGATTATTTAGTGGTACGGTATGATACATGTTATCATTCACACATTCAATTTATAGGACGCAATATTATCATATGCTGTCGTATTTCGATCTTCTAGAGCTAATTATTTCATTTGCATGGTGCTCAAAGAAAAATTAATGTCATAACTGAAATGAATATGTATAATGGAAATAAATTTAAAATAAATCGCTCTGGATATATTATTAAAAGATATATTTGTTTTATTGATATCAAATGAAAAGGCATGCACGGGCGACCACGTGAAAGGCAATGATGAATATTATCACAAAAAAAAAGGGAGATAAATATTGGCAAGCTGGCGCTGACCAGTTGACTATGTGACGTGGACTTGCGTGTATGGATGAGTACGTTTAGGGTCTATCCTAACGCATCTCTGCAAATAATTTTTTTTTTATAAATAATTTACATGCATACCACCAAATGTTTTTAATGTTTGTTCGTTTGAATCAGATGAAAAAATTTGTTATTTTAACTTTTGAAAATTGAAATACTACACTAATAAGGTGATTTATATATAGAAATCAAAATTTAGGTGTTATATATGCAAATATTTAAGAATTGAGTGAAAAATATATTAATAAAGAGTGCAGATTTGCAACGTATATAATCCATTTATGAAAAATAATATTAGAGGGGTCATGTCAATTCAGTTTGCTGGGTTTGAATTGCTCGAAATTGGTCCGACTTGAATTGATCCGACTCAAATATTATGCAACCTAAATTTGACCCCTCTTTAACTTGTCAACTTCAGCCCGATCCGTATAAGCTATTTAATATAAAGAATAATCACTATTTGAGTAAAAAAAATCAATCAAATTTGAGCTAATTTTGATTCGATTTTGGGTGAATTTTGTGCTGGCATATCAACCCAAATTTGATCCAAAAAAACTAAATGTCTATGGATACTTAATTTGAATAATTTGAACTAAAAATTTTCAAATTGGGTTCAAATGGAGTTAACGTGTTGGATTATTCTAATATTCAAACACCTTTATTTTGCCAATCTTAAGAGCGTTATATGTCATTAAAGTGAACATCAAAGCCCTCTCCGATTCCACTAAAATTACAAAACAAAAACTCCAAAAAAAAAATGATAAAATATTAATTATGGATCACAAAAAAAAAAAAAAAAAATCGACATCATTATCTAAATGCTAACAGTTCATTTAAGATAAACTATTAAACCGGCATTTCTTATAAAGACAAATCAGTAAAAAATAAAATAACATAAAAATTCAAATTATCAGGCCTTGTAAAATATTTACGTAATTTTCAAACTATTTGTAAATATTAAAATTCATTATTGTTTTTTTATATAAATTAAAAGTCTAATCCGTAAAATAAAAGATAAAATGAAAGATAGTATTGTTATAATAAAAAAAAGAATCATTTAGACTATTTTTCTAAAGATAATATTTGCTGTTAAATAATAATTATTTATTAGAGTAATAATTTTTTATTCAAAATGGGTTTTCTATGAAAAAATAAATATAAAATTATGAAATAAAATGCCAAAATAGTCGTCAAATTTTTTAAATAAATAGTCATTATAAAGAGACAATTAGGAACTAATTTGCTATTTATATCCTCTTGAATTGAAACGAAAAACTATTTTGGCACGGTAATTTAAAATAATAATAAATTAATTGGCTTTTTGTTTTAAAAAAACATTAGGTGGCTACGAATATTATCAGCATACATTATCCATAAATATTATTTAATAAGCAATAAGACAAGCCACTTATCGACATATTATAGTTGGCAGGTGACCTCGGTAATGAGGAACTTTTGGTCACTAAAATTATTTTCTTAAAAAATAAGCTTTTATTTCACATTTATTTCATAATAAATCCAAATCGTTCAAAACGATTATTATTTACTATTTATTTTTTTGTCTTATATTTATCTTAAAATAAATTTAAAATATTAAATATCAACATGCTAAAAATTTAGCCAGAATATTTTGATTGTTTGTTTTGATATTATAGGCGTTAAATTGACTACTTATCTTTTTATTTGGATTTTACAAACGTGCCATTAAACCTTTTTTTATATAAATTTTCTTTGCAAATAAAAGTAAATTAACAAATTTTATGCAAATAAACTTATGTAAAATAAAAGTAAAAAATTTTATGCAAATATTTGGATTTTCTTTGCATGATAATATGTTTTATCAACAAATATAAAATTTTAAGTATTTCTACATAAATCCCCGTATAAATTTGGCTATATAAGTGAACTCCTAACGTTACCAGATTACCGATAATCCTTCATTCAAGTATATCAGAACTTCCGTATAGAAATTCCTATTTATTTTGGCTTTTGCAGGATATTTAAACCTCCTCTTAGCCCTTCTGTTTCCTATTTCCCAAAAAAAAAAGAGATTGTTTGTTTAATCTTCTGTACGAATATTGTAGATTCAAATCTCATTTCAACAGTATTTCATCTCAAATAACAAGAAAACTGCAGTAATTAGAGATTTTCAGTTTCTTCCTTCTTCTTCTTCGAAAGCGTCTGCGTGTGCCATGTTCAAAAGAAGTTTTTCTCAGCATTCTTCCACAACAAGCATCTTCATGAAGCTAATCAGCGATTTTATGAAGCCGCATAGAGGGGTTCGTTTCCTTTTTTTTTTTTCTTTTTTCTGTAAATTTATATAGTCGTATTCATGAACATTCTGCAATGCGTTATATATATTGACAAAATTCATATTTTTCAGCTTGGAAGCTGCTCTTTCTTCACATCTCGAGCAGCATCATATCTGCAAAATGCCTGTGAGGCAACTTTTGATTCTGAAAGGTGAATATCAGTTTAGTTTCATGCTACGAGCTTAATAAATGTTTGTATATTTTCAAAGGGAGGCTGAAAATATTTTTTGCATAATTTTAATGTTTAAAGTCTGTAAATCTGATAATTTTATTACTTTCATGTTGAAAATTTCAGAAGAAAGATCTAAAGTGAGGAGGCAAAGCTCCTGTAATATTCATATCATATTATATATGACTCAATAATTCCACTATTGATCAAAATCCTTGATGAAAGATTGATTTTTTTTTTTTCTTTTGTTGTTGTGAGATAACAGAAGTGAAGATGAATATGCTGATGTGGAATGGGACAAGCTCAGTTTTGGTTTAGTCGAAACAGATTACATGTACATTATGAAATGTTCTCAGGATGATGAATTCTCCCATGGCCACCTTAATAAATATGGCAACATTGAGCTCAGCCCATCTGCTGGAGTTCTGAATTATGCACAGGTTAGTACTCAACTATTTCAACTCTCCACTCAATGACCACACTCATCATCTTCAGCCAAATCCAATCTTACTTAAGTTTGATTTCATGAATCCTACGTCTCTAATCATTCTTATTGATTCTTGCACTACAACATACCATATTGATTAGTCCCTGTGTCAGCTTAATCAGCATAATGAATGAGTTTGTTAATATCTATGAAATTATTCGCGCAATTGATGATTTGTGTGGCAGGGTTTATTTGAAGGAATGAAAGCGTATAGGAAGGTGAATGGCAATGGTTTTCTGATATTTAGACCAGAGGAGAATGCTCGGAGAATGCAGATGGGTTCTGATAGAATGTGTATGCCATCTCCTTCTGTTGAACAGTTTGTTCATGCTGTGAAACAAACGGTCTTAGCTAACAAGCGCTGGGTTTGTAATCAAAATTGTTTTTTTTTTCTTTTAAGCTTATGTTGTAGCAATATGGTTTATATAAAAAAAAGGAAAATTACATACATCCCACCCAATTCCTCTGTATTCACATTTCTAAACCTGAAGTAATGCATGAAAAAAGTTTAATAGTAGTGGTAATCTTTATGTGATATTAGAGATTAGAATGTTATGTTGGTAAATATGAAATTATTGGTGATATGTATGTAAATATGCCTTGTAAAAATGATATATAAAATTTTGAGTTGCTGATGCTGTTGATTAGTTTAATTTTGTGTTTGATGTATTTGTTTCAGGTTCCACCTGCAGGGAAAGGTGCTCTGTATGTGAGGCCATTGCTGATGGGAAGCGGTCCTGTACTGGGTTTGGCACCTGCATCAGAGTATATGTTCTTAGTTTATGCAGCACCAGTGGGAAACTACTTCAAGGTATCTCTCATTATTAATGAGTGAACTGTGAACATAAAATAGTCTCTCATCATTTGCATTAGGATGTTTTAGTCCTAGAATTTGTAAAAGTATTAATATATATATATATATATATATACTTCTTGAACTCCTTAAATTTCTATGGAGGACTATTAGAACTCAATTTTAAAACAGTCAGAGACTATTTTGACACATCTATAAACTTTGGGACTAAAATTACTCCCATATTAATCAATTACTTTTACTATTGGGACATTTTTTCTTGTTTTTTTAAATATATTTGAGATAAGATAAACAGAAGATATGCCATATCACAAATTTTTCTCATTTTCGCATTGTGAATTATTGATTTGTTGGATAATCTCCTGTATTTATGATGCACAATCAATACTTGCTTCAAATAAAAATGCATTTTTTTTTATATAATAAGGTACCTTATTTTGTCATTTTATGTAAAGATAAAAAATTTTTTAATTTCAATTTTCATGAAAGGATATAGTTTTAATAGTATAGGCATAATTGCAGGAGGGTTTGGCACCAATAAATTTGGTTATTCAAGAAGAAAACCATCGTTCAACTCCTGGAGGGACTGGTGCTGTGAAAACAATAGCCAATTATTCACCGGTTCGTTTTTTATTTATTTTAGAATCGTCTATTTACATATGTAAAACCCAGACTTCAATTTTTACATATATGCCCCCATTTTTATAGAACTTTTAGTATTGCTTAGCTAAAACATCTCAACTCGAAAAAATATTACCTCAGGAGTACTGATGCATCAGTACTCCAATGAGGGGGTGCCACGTAAGCAATGAATGGTAAGCAATGGTCCCACCGTGGTGCCTACGTGGCACCCCCTCATTGGAGTACTGATGCATCAGTACTCCTGAGGTAATATTTTTTCTCTCAACTCAGGGCCAAAAGGCTAAAGCTAAATGCTATGATTAAGCCAAATCTGTTGCAATTTTGGTAGGTATTAAAGGCGCAAATGCAGGCCAAGAAGAAAGGATTTACAGATGTTCTGTTTGTGGATTCAGTGGAGAACAAGTATTTGGAAGAAGCTTCTTGTTGCAACATATTTATTCGAAAGGTATTCTTATTGCCCCATAACAATTTCGTAAATTAAGAATCAATGCAATTTGATTAGTTTTGGAAATATAATTTTTAATTAATGATTAGTAGGTTTGGATCTTGAGCTCTTCCAAAAGTACCCTAATATAAATATCATTTTTTTCTTAAATCAGTTCCTACTGTTTATTTGAACAGAATAATGTCATCTCAACCCCAATTACTGGCGGAACTATCCTTCAAGGAATCACACGTGGCAGCATCATAGAAATTGCTCGTGAATTGGGTTATCAGGTCAGCCTTATTCTCTTTTGTATAGCTTCTGATTTCAGTAATGTTTAGCTCTTCTTAAAACTCAAATATCAAAATTATGCAGAGCACCCAAGCAAATTTTATTTTGCAAACCAAGCACCCATATTTTTCATTTTTATGAAGTTCTTAATGATTTGATCATGGGACATGTAAATGCTTGATTTGTAAATATTAATTTTTCAGGTGATTTGAATGTAATTATTCCAAAAATTTTAAAAAAAAACAACTTTGATTTAATGGTAACAGCACAACTACAACTAAATAATAAAGGAAAAATTTCTTTTTTTTTTAATCATTACATGGAAAAATATGTAATTTTTCTTTTGCAAAATGTACAGGTTGAAGAAAGGTTGGTTTCAGTGGAGGACTTAATTGATGCAGATGAAGTTTTCTGCACTGGAACTGCTGTAGTAGTAGCTCCAGTGAACAGCATAACTTATAAAGGCCAAAGGTAGGGATCAAATCTCCTGTCTTTTGCTCCATTTGCATCTCATAATCTAATTTAAATATTATTTTAATTTCTTGCTTTTCAAATTTTATCTCCAAAATTTCTATTAAATTTTATATTTTCTACGTATATCTAATAAGTTTTGCTTCCTAAATTAGTTTGAGGCATGATATTTAAAATAATGCCTAATATAGTATATTAATTTTTGTGTATGTAGATACAAATACAACTGTGGAGAAGATGTTGTGTCTAGAAAGCTGTACAGATCCCTGACTGATATACAGATGGGCCTTGTTGAAGACAAGAAAGGATGGACGGTTCAGATTGACTGAAATCTTCATACTTTGAATTTATGTTCATGAATAAAAATAAAATAAAATAAAAATTGCAGATAAAGATTACAGAGTTTACAATCTCTGTTTGTCATTTTACCGGAAAAATGGAATTACTTGTGCTCTTTTCCATTGAGTTCAATAAAAAAAAAAGTTATTTATTGTTAATATTGTAATATTTTCTTTTACTGTTTTATCATTTTTCACAAAAAAAAATATAAATATTTGATATTGTATTATATATCAAATATTTAAATCCATTTAATTACAAATATAATATGTTAGTCTCTAAATGATAAAAATATTAATTACATAGATTTTCAAATCATTTAAACAGTAGAGTGATGCATAAATAAATATAAATCTCAAATGAAATCTAGCCAGCTATAATAAACTAAACTAAGATGGAGCAAAATATGTAGCTTGAATTCAGAAAATTGTATTTGCAAATAATTGATTCTTCTGCAGATTTAATAATCATAGAATGATAAAATTGCGAATAATTAAATAAATTGCAAATAGAACAGAGGATTCCAAAATGAGATTTTTAACATGTTGCTTCAAAATTTCACAGAGATAAAGGGGTAGTCGGTGCATTTGTATCATAATATCATGCTTTTGGTTGGGTGTTATTACACTTTTGTATCGTATTATTGTATAGCTATTCATTATTGATATAGGGATCTTATATAATTAGAATTAGTGATAGGGGTTGTGATGGTACTCCATATAATTATGATGATGATATTTGATACTAATATTATGAGGATGGAGGACAACATATCTCTCTCTCTCTCTCTCTCTCTCTCTCTCTCTCTCTCTCTCTATATATATATATATATATATTCTATGATTTTACTCAACACTGTTGCTAGTACAATTGCAGAGAACACCAAATATTTGTGTCATTACAGGCTTGGTCACATGAGCCAGAGCTATAAAGAAATTTTGCAAGAAGAAAATTCAAGCAAGTGAGAGGTGACCATGAAGGAGAAGACGGTTTCCCTGCCAGAGAATCAAATTTGGGAGCTGACATAACTTCAATCAGAGAAGAAGACATTGCACAGCAAGTGGTTGTACTGAGTGAAAACTGAGCTTGATGACAGTAAGAGGTACATGACTAGACTTGTTAAAAAAGACTTTCAGCAGAATCATGATATTACACATGCGATGGGAGGTGTAAGCGCAAACATGAGTAACCGAGAAAAGAGTTTGGAGGCACAAAACTTTATTAACGCTGATATGTCAACTTAGGATGTTACTCTTGAGAAACCGAAATTATGCCAACTTCATTTGGTTTTCTAGCGTGAAGACAGAGGCTTTGAGTTGCAGAGGTCAAAGACATCACATTTGAGAAAAATGTAGGTACAATAGGAGATGCAGCTTGTGTCACAGTTTTCAATTGAGAGAATTATTAGGAATAATGAAGGCCGGCCCACTTCTTATTTGGCAGTTTCTTCTTTATGGCAGCAAATTGGATTGTTGTTGAATTAATTGCTAAATTAATTACTCTCTAATTTATTTCCTCATTCGCTTGCCGCATCTGGTGCTTTCCTTGTGTACTCCCCGTCAGAACCTTCTTCCCGAATCAAGAATTCTGGAGGCTTTCCAAAGTGGGCCGTTCTTGCTTTAGGGGGCTGAAAAGAAAGAATTAACCTATGTTTATAATGCATGGCATGCGGGTCCAGCTCTTCCTACAACTTACTATTAATATCATCTTCGGTCTTTGGCTTAGGAGTGAACTGCTCCACTATTTCTTCTTCTTCGGCAGAGGCATGAGGTGTAAAGATGGAGAGAAGGGTTCGAACAACAGCACCTCGCGTGAAGAAGCAAGTTCCGGGTTTTCTTCTCTTTCATATTCTTCTACCTGTAGCTCTCGGCTAGAGAGAGATGGAAAGAGAGAGGAGGAGAGAGAGAGAGTTCTTTTTGTAAACGTCAAGGCATTCTACGTGTAATCCTCAACCTAATAAAATCCTCATCAACTTCGTAGACATAACAATTTGCCGAATCACATAAATCTGTGCGTTCCGCAGTTTTTTCTGTTTTGCGAATTTTCTCAATTCATTTTTCAGTTTATTATCGTCGTTTTTCACAACAAAAATCAAAATAATAATGAAAATATAACTCGAATATTCTCAAAATAAGTATATAAATGTTAACGGACATTGAAACAAGAAAAGGTATGGAGACATGCTGACACTCAACGAAATACATATTTTCTAGCTGTAGCAGTAATGAGAGTGAAATATTCATGGTAATAATTCTCATAAATCTTTGAAATTGGTAAGCATTTATGAAAACTACTATGACATTGCAGTGATCATAAATTTATAGTGACTACATGCATATGATCCACAATTTGTTTAAACTTATAAGAGAATTCACACATATATGCCAACTTTAAATAATAATAAGAGTAAAATATAGATAATGCAATAATGAAAAGGGAAATTTACATACCTCCCGCAAAATGATTATGTATTTACATATCTCACACCTAAAATTTCATATTTACATACATAGCACTTTGGTACTTTAAATCTACGCATGACAATGTGGATTCCACTTAAAAAAAAATGATTGTAGTGCTCTTTTTAACATGATATTAAAGATTTGAGTGCTATGTGTGTAAATATGGAAGTTCAAATATGAGATATGTAAATATATGAGAATTGTGTGCTATTTATGCAAATGCCCTAATGATACATTTGTAAATGATAAAAATAATATGTATAAACTCTTTACTTCTAAAATCTATAGGATAGAGTACTACAAGTGGATTTCAAGTCAATCCAATAGAAACAGATTGTTGAATCCCATCATTTTACTTGAAATATTTTAAATTTCAAAATTATTTATTAACTAGAAGTCAGTTTGGAAGGAGATTAAAAGTTAGTTGCCTAATCCATAACCACCTAAGCGGTGAATGGTCAACCATTTTAAGTTAATATACAAAAGTAGACACTTTTCAAGGTATGATAGAAACCAAAAGCAAATTTTGATGAATCAAATGCATCATATGAATTAGAAAGCATAAGCACAATCTCCTAAGTTAAGGATGATCCATTTAAAGAAATATAAATAAAGCTTAAAATCAAGTTTGGATAGTTAAGGATGATCCATTTAAAGAGTTGAAGTAGAAGCTCTCACATTTAACTATGGGCAAAATACGCTCCAAGGTTGGCTTACCAAATTTGATGATTATTCTAATTAATAGGGCATGCTAAAATTTATTGTTGTAATTTATCGTCCTAGGAACAATGACTGGGTAGACAACCATTAATATGGGTAGAGATGAAGAAATGTTGAAAGCCATAATGTTCATTGACACCACAGAAAACATCTCCAAGTTCAAATCCTCACATTAAGGGGAGGCACTATGCAATTAATTAATCACTTTAATTTTTTTGAGAATTTGCTAGCTAGGACTAATTGTATCGATCAAAATTATAAGTAGCTAACAAATATATGATTAGCCTTGAGCAAGAAATCAGGAATGATGTTGAGCTTTCAGGTTCAAAAATCCTAACGAATGTCTTTCACTATGATAGAAAAACATAAGTTAATTTACAGGGCAAAAACTACTGTTCTTACCATTCTTGCGCAAATTTCTAGGTTTTCTAAAAGAAATTCAACCATGTCAATTTTTATTAGTACTTCCACTTTTAGGAACCCAATAGAGTCATATAGACATCGTCAAAGAATATATAAGATATTATTTGTTTCAAATATCATAAAAATGGCATGCATAGCCAATGCAAGACAAATTCTTCTTAGACTAGACTGATAACCCCAAGGATGAAGAAATAAAAAGGATTAGAGATGTCACACCACTAGGTGATGTTAGCAATCATTAGAGGTAGGTTGGTTCCTGTGTGGAGAAGAAATAACATGTTTCAAATTTATGCAACATGCACGAAAAATATATATATATATATAGACTAATTACTAATAGTGATATTGCATTTAATTTTATATCTACACAAGCACTTTGAGGTCTATTTGAGGTATCTTTCTCGCTACTTTGGTTTTCAGATTGTTGCCATACAAATATTTGGCAATTGATTTCTTTTTGGCTTTCAAAAATTTATATGGTGGCAAGCTTTACAACTAGAGATTCTTGTGCATGATAATCAAAAGAAAGTTATAGTTTTACATTTAACAAAAAAATAAAAATTTATAATACAAATAGAAGTTTTAAATAAATCCCTACAAAAACTTTTAAAATCATCTTTACAAAATGATATAGCAGCCGCAAACAGACCCTTAAAGACTAACAATAAGGCTAACTCCAAGCTAACACCTATGCATCGAAGGATAAGACCGTCAAATTATTTCATTCGCTTTTAAATAAAGAAATCCAAGATACCCCACAGAAGGCTAACTCTAAACTGAAATAAGAACGTGGATGTTCAGAGTCCAGATATTTTTTATGACGTTCATGGACTATCAGTCCATCACATAACTTCAGTAACCCTTCAGATAAATCTACTTTGGACAACGAAGATCTTGAAGGATGATGTGCCTTTACTCTTGAGAAGCAAAAATATATTGGTCTTAGATCTTTGGACAGATCTATCTATTACACCTCATTTAATTTATAATGAGCTGCTTATTAAGTTATCGTTTTAAAGTAATATTGTATTCGTTTCAAACTTCATTTTTTAGCTCACTATGGCATGCTCAAATATTCCATATTGGTTAGTCTGAGTTACATGGTAGTATAGATGGTTTGCTTTTGAAGCATTCTAATCTAATTAATCTCGCCCCTCATTTAGTTTATGTTTTTACATTATCACTAGCACATTATTTTCATAATCTTCATTCACCGGTGTTACAATGACTTTACAACAATTATTTATCAAAAGCATGCATCATATGCATATCCTGATAGTGCTTATTTTTCATTTCACATTTGTTGTCTCCTGCTATGCAATTAAAAAAAATTGCATGCTACATATCAACCTTGAAATAATTGATTCACAATTCCTAAGGTATTCTCCAAGCCAATTTTCATTGCATTTTATATGGTGCCATAAGAAGGATTTTGAAGCATAAAATTTTGCAGATTAGCCCACTTGTAGAAAACAAAGAGCCATTTTTAAGTATATTTTCAGATGCTAGTTTTTCAATATCTGTAGTCAATGCACCAGATAATGCTCCCACAATTACAGAGATAAAGGATGTTTGGAGCATATTTTTACTTACCATTATTAGACTATCAATTTTAGCCATCTATAGCAAAGTTCCTAAAGATGTGATGGATATGATAACTCACATCAAGTGCATGTTAAGCTAAGCCATCCCAATCCCAAATTTTTGAAATTACATATTTCAATCATCATTATAATTTAAACTTCAAAAGTTAATTAGGATTTAAATTAAAGTTAACTGCGAATTAGTTGAAGCTAGTAGGAATTTCGTTAAATGATCCATATCCACACAAGTAAATCTCAAAAGATGCACATCAAAAAGCAAGAATCAAGACTTTCCAACAAATATCGCATAATGCAAGCTACAGCCTCCCCCCTTCACCTTTCCTCTCTCCCGTCCCCCACCTTATTGGAATGTTTAAACTCTTATTAGCTTAATTTTAAATTTTATGTAATATATAAGAAATCATTATTAATGTAAAAAAATTTAAAACACATTTGAATTGAAGAATTTTTTTTTATCTTGTTACCTTAGCATCTTAGTGAAAATCCACCACTTTGTTTAGGTTAAAACTCTCTCTCTCTCTTGGATTCAACCTCCTATACAAACCTTAATCCCTCCAAACTCTCTTTCACAACTCTTCTCTCTTCCTAACATATATCATACCGCCCCCTAAAATGAAAAAACGAAGGCGATGAAGCCCTCTCTACTATTTTTAGCCCCATCCTGCACTACCTCAACATATATACTTGAGAAGATAACAAACACTATAAAATGGCCTTAATGGGGATTCATTGGCCGTCCTATTAAAATATATTAGCCTGAGAAGAAACCCTTGTTCACTCGCAATGCTCTCCTCTCCCGTTGAAGTGTTTGAACATAGAGTACCTAGTTCCTCCGTCGATCAATTTATACATCTATCTAACTCTTTTCTCTCTCAAAAATCCAACTTATTGTAGGCACATTGTGGGCCACAACATAGAGAGAACCATAAGAATTCTATACAAGTGTATTGAACAAAAAACCCATTCATAAAGGTGCTAAATGCACTACACATGCAAGTTTTTCTTGATATAGAAAGAAACGCGTTTTCGATTGTGATGTCTTATACACCACTCATATGAGACTTTAGTCAAGAAAAAATACATTTAAAATGCTATTCAGAATCTAAAAAGTGAAACACATAAATTCTTAATTATACTCTACTGATGATAAGTTTTTCAGTCTATCATTTATAGATTGGCTCCACCAAACCCAAGAAGAATAAATCACAAGATTTTTATTGTATTGAAAATTCTTTTGAACATCGCAGTAGAGACAGAATTAACCATGACATTTTGAACTCAGGGTAAGTTATTATCCAACATATATAGTATAAATCATCAATCGTCAAAAATATACCGAGGAAAATATGAGAAATAGAAATAGAATGTCTTTAAAAGCTCCATAATAATTGACACACAATTCTTAAACTTTAAAACAATTTAAAAGGAACACCCCACAAGCTCATACATGACATTCAGAGCACACAAAGCCTATCAAGTAATTCACAAAACATGTATTCCTAAATGCTATTTGATTAAGCTTCATACATGTTCACAACAAATAAGCAAGATGAAAAAAAATGTTTTGTTAGAAATGTTTAAGAATGAAAATTTAGCACTTGAATAATACTGGCCATCAAGAATAACCACAAGATAAGACTATTTGCTGAGCAAAAAAAAAAAAAAAAAAAGAAGTAAAATAAAATACGATTAGAAATGCAAGCCAAGGAAATTGAGATTAAATCTCAATGCTTGGAACAATAAGGTTTGTTCCTCTTAAGCTCGTGTATGAGCCTCATTCATTGCTTCCACGCTAGCAGATCAGTTAAAATTTTGTGTAAACCCACAACTCATCGAGAATTCATAGAAAAAAAAATTGACGTTTGCCAGAAAAAGTGATGCACGACATTTGTATGAAAATGGGAGAATATGAATGAATATGTCAAATAGACAAGTAAAAGTCATATCTTTGCCATCTGCTATATAAAATAAAAAAATAAAAAAATAAAATAAACATCCAAATCTGCTATCCAAACTCCACAAAATATGGAAAATTATAGTTAAATAGGCTTTGACCCATTCAACTTAAGCGTTCCCATCTTTCCAATCACTTTAATTAACTAATTCAAAAATAAAACCAACATAAATCATTAAGAGCAGTTCAAAAACCCATGAATTTTTTGTTTTCTTACTGGTTACATAGAATTAAAAAAACATGAGCTTTCTTGAGGCCTTTTGTTCATAACTCTGATCAAAAGGTCCTATTCTATAATATTTCTTTCGCTGATTGCTCGAGTGAACTTTCAAATATCTGTCCCACATTTATTCGTGGAGGGACTTCTAATGGTTTGAATATCATGTCAACGAGCATTCCATCTTGCAAATAAGGGATATCTTAAGCTTTCCCTTTTTTTTTTAAATCTCTTTAAATAATTCAATATAAAATCAACATAAATCATTAAGAGCGCATTTTTTAACAATGTTATTGAAGTAAGCTTGATAGATTCCTTCCACCCGTCCAATCAATTTGTTAGCTATCCCAATTAACCCATGCAATCCTGAGTTGAAAATGATAAACGTAAGAAATTGTTTGGCTACAAGTTAGATTTAACTAAGATAAAACTTAGTAAATCTTATGAATCAAAATTTAGTAAATCTTGAGAGGATTAAAACCTAAAAATTAGTTGGCAGGTAAACAACTGAATTTCAGATAAACTATTTAGTTGTTATCTTTATTGATTAGGATTTGCGAGAATAAGAAATATTTAAATCCACTAAATCTTGTGATTTTGTTGGACTTAACAAATACTATTTTAAACTACATAATGAGATTGAAACAAGCATTATAAAAAAAGAGTTCAAAATGTTAAAAATTATATTTAGTATAATTAGGGTTGTCAAAAAAGCTCGCAATTCGCGAACAACTCATGTTTGGCTCCTTAAAAAGCTTGTGTTTGATTCGCTCGTTAAGCAAACGAGCAGAACATGAATAATATTTTTAGCTCGATTTATAAACAAGTCGAAAATGGACAAACTTTTCAATCATGTTCAACTTGTTTTGGCTCGAATTAATTAAATAATAAATAAATAATATCTTAAAATTAAAATAGTGATATCTTTGATATGATATTAAGGATTTAGCTTGTATAAATGTTAATTTAGGTGTTAGATATGCAATACATAAAAATTAGGTAGTATGTATGAAAATGCCCTCAGAAGATATGTAAATATATAAGAATTGGGTGGGTTGTATGTATGAAAATGCCCTTAGGCTTGTGCCCAGATTGCCCTGTTCCATCATGTAGGCCTGACATTTAGGTGTTAGATACGTAAGTATATAAGAATTGGATGGTATGCATGTAAATGCCTAAGACTGTGCCCTGTGGGCCTGCCATTTAGGTGCTACATATGTAAATACATAACAATTGGGTGATATGTATGTAAATGTCCCTAGAATTCCTACCCCGGGAATACTCCTTATTATAAATCCACTTTAAAAGTAAAAACAATATTAACATGTTTGAAAAGCTTCACAGCTCATAGAATGAAAGTGATTATTGCTTGTGTTACTATTAATATATTTGCAAAAAAAAATAGTTTATTACCTTTAATAAACATAATTAAATTTATTAGAGTCATTTTAGCTTTATTATATCTTTAATTATCTTAGAACAAGAGCTCGAGGAAGGCTCGGCTCCGTAAGCGAGTTACTCGATTAATAAAGTTTGAATCGAGCTCAAATTTGAGTGCCAATTTAAACAAACGAATTTGAACCAAGCTGGACATGACACATCATTCATGAGTGATTTCGAACACGAGCTAATTTAAAAAAAAATAATAATAATAATAAAATAAAATACAAATGAGCTGAACATGAACAAGGGTTGGGCTTGCTTAGTTAGGTTCGTTTACACCCCTGTGTATGATTTAAGCTAAAACTTCTTTGAATGCCGCCTAAAATGGACACCGAACAACACCCTAAAAGTTATCATTCATGCATCTTCCAAATACAAGATGCTCTAAATTTCATAAATCTTTTAAACGAAAGAAAAACCAAACCAAGGTGAAACCCATAAACATCTCGTAAGATACCCGTAATTGCATCCCAAATATAATCTTTCATAATACAAACTAAAAAAGGACTTGTCATCATAGCCATCAATCCTATTATATATATATGAATATAAACAACTAGCTTTAACAGATTATTGAAAAATTATCTGAATCAAGCAAAGGTACAATTCAAAAAAGTTTGAGGAGAAAAAAGTTGCAAATCAAATACTTCATCTGACAAAAAAATGAATAACCCTGCTTTGATTAATAGAAAAAAAGTTTAAGCTACAATATGCTAAACATAAATACAAGTTACACTTTTTTTTTCTCAGCACATTGGAAATAGAAAATGAACAATACAATGACGCTATAACTAAAGATGTTAGAAGAAAAAGCAAGAATTTGCGCTCGGCATAAAACTCACAGTAATGCCTCACTGTCAGGTATCAAAGAAATGGACCAATCAGCCTCCACTGAATTGTAAGGGAAGACATGATCGATGTCGAAGCCAGTTTTTCCGATCTCCCTCAATTCTCCACTCCCCAAATCAAGCGAAAAGATGTTCCCCATCAAACCTTGAAATATAGCATTTAAACTCCCTCCGATACCAAACCCAAGAAACCTGATCTGATTAAAATGACAGAACTCTCGAAATCTTCCCAGCTCGATTCGATGCGCCAAATGCCATTCACAGTGCAATCGATCGACAAGAACCCATACATACAGTACAGACTCCTCAACATAAGCGTAGCAGAGTTGATCGTTGAATTTACCCAACCAACGATTGGTAATATACAAAGGAAGCGTCCTCGGAAGCCCTAGAATCGAGAGATCGTAGTTCTTTTCATCCAGAGCAAGAATTTGACGATCACCTTTGAGCCAGTGAATAAATCCATTCACCAAAACGGGATATTGGTCCCCGAGGCAGCGCCGAGTGCGAATGTTGTATAAATATTGGATCTTTTTCCATTCCCCGGGGGATTCCGACGAGAAAATCTCAATAATGGGACAGGATGATAGCTTCGTCGAAACACGAAGGATTCGGAATCGGCAAAGAGGGTTAAATGAGAAGGGATCGGGAAGAAGGGCGTGGAAAACGGAGGTGGCGTTATCAAGCGAGGGTTGAACGATGGACAGGGTTTTGTTGAAGATGGGGTGAAAGACTCGGAGGCATGAGGTAACGAGATCTAGAAGTAGAAGCCATCCCCCGCGAGAGTCGAGGATCTGAACGGAACCGAGATCGGAAACAGCAGTGGAGGAGGACGAAAAGGGAATAAAGACGGGGCCTTCGCATGGATAATTAACGAAGAAACCGAAGGAAGAAGCGCGGCGAGATCTATAATGATGGCGGAAGAGAGGGGAACTGCACAAGCGCAGCCAATACCTGGAGACTGAGATGGAGCTGAGAAGAGAGGATGGCGGTAGTCGTAGAAGAATCTCATGGAGGAGGTCTTCGCCGATAACGGATATATCACCTGCGACGACCGCTTCTTCTTCGTCAAAATCACCCCTTTGCTTCTTCTGCAAATCCATCGGTGTGGAAGAGGAATGAAAATTGGCTTTTATGGAGGAGGTTTAGGCGCGGGAGAAGAGTGCGAAGGCGCAAAGGTGACTCCTTTTTTTACAAGAAATTAATTAAATTTTGTTTAGGAGGAAGCGGATAAGAATGAACCAAGTGGAGAAATTTGGTTCTCCACCGAGTAGTTAAGAATCTAGAACAACTGAACAGGTGATAGACACGAGTCACACCACAGCGCGGAAGTAATAAAATTATATATATATATACTTTGTTTA